CCCCAAAACCCCAAAACCCCAAAACCCCAAAGCCTAATGGGAAGTAGAACAGCAACTATAGACTATTAATGTAGCACTGTAGCTAATATTGTGAAATTTGAAACTATGGATAACAATGCTGGCTTGTAAGAGAGCCTCTTTAGGTATACAAAGTCTTTACAGGTATAAACCCAACCCTCAAAAAAGATAGCTTAAGCTACGAATACCCGATGTAACCCAAGAATAAGGCCTAATGAGAGGATTAGTGCATTGAGATAGATCCCAAATATTATGTTTATGTCTAATTTTACGCATCTAGTCCCTCTAGGATAGGCATGACCCTTCCTTTATTCCTGATCCGACCTGCAACAGCTTGGTTGAGAGACTGGCCTTGGACATTTCTTCGCATATGCTTAGTAGTAACTTGACTAAAGGGTTTACTCACAGAGATTTCACTGGCATCTAGGTTTTGGTCCACAAATCTCTTAGGAGTTCTCTTAATGACCTAAAGCAATATTTACCACTTACTGATGGATTTTGGAGGTTTGGCATCTTATCCATTGGTTTCTTTCATTTCCAAGTACTAATTTTATTTACTCAATCGGATACTCCTCCAGCTAGAAAAGATCTGTTAGAATAATAAGTTAAGTCTTACCAAGAATAAGGACGGATATTACTGCTGAATTGGCCAGTACGACCCATAAGTATACACTAGTTGGCCATCCTTCCCACTTTTGTTCAGAGTTAAATTTCAAAAGGAAAGCAACAAAGAAAATGTAAAAGATTTCATTGGTTCATTCTACAAGGTTATTCAGCTTGCTCTCCATTGGTCTAAGGTACAGAATATTAGCAGAATATGCTACTTGGAGTAATAGCATGGGCCCGACTAAGACAGTATGTCCATATGCTTCACAGATAATAAGAATGGCACCGAAGAGAATTCTCCTTAAGATCAATATAGGTATGTACAGTCTCTTTAGTTTCAGTGGCTTTAATCCTGTGATAAATTCTTCAAGTTTTCCATGGCTATTCTCATCTTGTTGTTTCAAGGCTTGGATAGTAGAGATAATAAGCACAATTAGTCAACATGCTAGTGCAAATAGGGCAAAAGACCCAGACACAATGTCTTGATAAGAAGAGTTGCTCATTTCCCAAAGCTCACTAAGAGATGAAATATAAATAAACTGGAAAGCTTCCAAGAAGAGTCTTATGTAGATTCCAAAAGTAAGCATCCTCCATAAGTACCCAAATGGCTTAGCTAGTTTGTTTCTGCAGGGGTGTCCAGAATCCTTTACTTCTCTCGGGCAGATTAGCAGTAATAAATGCAGGATTGAAAAGACTCAGAATGTTAGAATCAGGCTAAAGTTGTTGCTAAATCAACTCCCTGATTCCAGTCCAAATTTTACAAGAGCTGGATCAGTTTGAACTTTATTCAACCATGTTAAAGGAATATGGGAGATCTTGTTTGATTTGATTTGAAGGAATTTTAAATTGAAAGAGAAAATATCGTTATTGGTGATTAATCCAACAATATCATCAGGAAGAGAACTCTGAGTGAGTAACAAAATAAGCATTAATTGCATCTGGTTTGCCATTGCCCAAAGAGTCATTGGTGCTGATAGATTAAGAATCGATACACATAGACTGATTGCTGTACCTATTCCAAGAAGAGCTGTCATACTATTTGTCATTGTTTGAACATATTCAGATCCCTCAGAATTCTTTCACTTAAAATCTTTGCTAATAGTATATCCTTGATCTCAAGTGTATCATTTCGTACTGTTTTGAATCTCGCAAATCTCACAATGCTCAGCATCGCATTTTGGTTGGCATTGACTCTTAGTAGATTGGGTCTCTAATATACAGTTCCAACCTTGTTCTACATTTCAAGTACTACTTCATCCGTCTCTTGGATCCAAATTGCCATCGTCTCATTCTTCATTTCCTTCAATTTTTCCATCACCTCAAATAGGGTGGCAAATATCTTTTTGGGTGGGGGACCCTCCAGTTCAGGTCCATCCATCTTCTCTCTGACAATTATTACTTCAGCCATCATCTGAATTAGTATTATTGTCATCTCAAGTCTCTGTGGGAATCTTGAGGCCATCTCCTCAGATCGGGGCTCACGTGTCTGGAGTTGTGGAATCTCCTCCTTGACATTTATAGCCTGCTTCTGTTGAGCAGGTATCAGAGCAACCATCATCTGGGGTTTTATTACCATCATCTCAGTATGATTGCAAGGTGTTGAATCTTCTACCATCACCGCAGTCTTCAGTTCACTCAGTTGGTTGTGATAGGCTAGGCTGTATACATGTCCAATAGTCTTCTAGATTTCAGTTAGAGTCTCAGCCATCAGAATTAATCTCATTTCCATCATCGCATTCTTCAAAGGTATCTTTGATGCCATCTCCTCATTGGGTAAAGCATGTCGAGGGATTTTGGGTTCATGAACCAACCTCCAAGAAACAGTGGTCATTGCATCCATCTTCAACGTCAAAATTACCGTCATCTCATTGTTCTAGATTTGTAGGCTGGACAATTCCGTCTCCACAGGTATTTAATGCTAAAATTTTAGATTTAATTTTGACTAAAAACATCCCAAATTTACTTACTATTTTGGTATAAAGCAGATGAATCTAATGCTACTAAAGATGTATCATCTGTAAAAGTAAAACTATGTATAAGAAAGTGGTTCGAAGTTGGGGTAAGAGACCCTAATTTGTACCCAGCGTTCAGATTCATAGTATGAGAGTAAGTTGTAGCATCCACTTCTCCAATAGCTTTATTGTACAACTTTGAATTTAGGAATCCACCGTTGTTACTTCATCTCAGCCTATTCCATCCTTCTAAAGTGAATTCATATGAGCTAATTTACTTGAGAAAGATTCTTGAGAGTTCCCGACTGTTTTGTATAAGGAATATGCCTTGAGGCCAGCTAGAGTAGTTTCAGCATTAGTAAAAGTAATAAAACGCTTGCTTACTCATTCCTGGAAATGAATCAAATTCGAATCCTTCAATCGTCCCAGTATCCTATCAATGAGACAATATTTTTACTTTAACTGCTCCTTGAAAAATCATCACTCTATCAGAGGTAAAGAAATAGGCCCAATATTGGAAGGAGAATTGCCCATGAGGCGCCTCAAATGGTTTATCATGAATCAGGCTCCTATAATTTATTACCTCTCAAGCTTACGTCCCAGAAGGGAACAAAACGCCCTGCTTGGTTACTGTAGGCTTGGCACTATTATTTATCAAGAATTTTGGAGCGTCTGGACTTGAGTCATCTTCTTGAAATATAGTTGGGTTCCCTCTATATGTCAATAACTGGCCTACACTAGTCCTGCAAACTTGTAGTTATATTGTACTGCCATTACTGCACTTGCTCAGAAGATTCCACATAGAAACAAGGAATAATATTTTTGCTATAAAAAGTTTATAAGGATTATAAACCTCAGATGGCTATGAACCTTAAATTTAAGAAATGCAGAATGCTCATTGCTATTGAGTGCCTTAAATAACCTTGGGCTCTTGTAAGATAGCCTTGTAAGCTCTGTTATTTGTATTGTAGGACATCATGAAAAGAGTAACTTTTATAACTTGTATCGGAGGATATGAATAAACTATGCCTAATATAAGATGTGGGTCTTCTACCAAGAAAGAACTTGAAGCACTCTTCAAGCGTAGCTTTCTCTCCTCAAAACTAGTTATACCACAGCTTGTGCTTAATTATGTTAACTTTGAGGCCAAACGCAAGAGTCTCACTGACTATCCACTTTCCGTAACTAATTCCCAAGATGACGTAAATTTATTAAATAATGACCTGCTCTGAGCTATGTTTCGGACTAATTTAGCACAGATTTTTCCTTTCTTTTCAGCATAGCCCAGAGTGATAAATTAAGAACTAATAACTCTTCATAACAGAGGATCAGGCTTGGGCTTATTTTCTTTGACTATAGCACCCATCTTTATTGTACTTACCGTATTCAGTACCATCTTTATTAATAATATCTATGGAAGGTTCAACATAAGTAGAGGTTTACGGGGTTTTGGGGTTTTGGGGTTTTGGGG